TTATAAAACATAATGAAGCTGATAGAATATAGCAGAGAGGAGGATGAGACGTATAGCAGAAAACTTTTTGTACCTAAAAGGTACGAACTGACTGAAGCGTCCTGGAAACGATGTGAGTCAGATGAAGTGATTTGAAGGTAAAATGTTTCTGTGAAAAGTAAAATGTCTGTTTACCGTCTTCAGATCCAGGCTCGGTGCTGTGTTAAAGCATGCAGCTGTGTAAAACTACAGCCTGCAGAGTGGAGCGGCACACACATGCAAACGACTGATTAAGGGTGTGTCAACATGCACCTATGGTAAACAAGGGGAGGGAAATCAGGCTTGAGCCTGGCTCCATTACGATCACAAAGATTTAAAAACAGAAAACGAGCCGCGGGGAGACGTATAAAAAGACTGCATGTTGTTGTTTTGACTGTGCGTACACAAGGGTTTGATTTAAGATTCATGAATTTGGATAAATGATTCTTTTCTGCCTGATTTTTTATTGTCAAATTGCAGAAAAAAGTGGTTTAAAAACACAGACCACAGGCTTTTTTCACAACAAGTTGTTTTTTTTTTTTTCTATAAAACTGCTGTTCAGTMCTAACATGGAGGTTCCTCATTATCCCGTTAAAAAGTTGAAATAAAATTTTGCAGGCGTGTTGTGGGAAATCTGTTTGTAAATGATAACAGCTGTGAAAATGAAAGGCACCTGGCTAAAGGTAGGCAGCTGAGAAACACACGGACATCTCTAGACGAAGGCTGTGATTTGATTAATGACTGGGGCGTGATGTACCCAAGCACCCGAACATGACATCTTCATGGAAAGAAGATCCATCAATGCAAATGCAGCTTAGTCACCGTCGTCCAGAGAAAAACTCTGATCCTGCCAGAAAACACTCACACCAACACCTGACCCTGGCCTTTTCTTTCTTCCCTAATCCAGCCGTCCGTCCAGCTCTGTTTCAACAGCATTTGCATTCTCTTCTCGCATTAAGCCTCCCTCTCTAWCCTTCTGGCCCTTTCCCTCTCCTCAGCCTGCCCATGTCACGCTATATCATGTTTCTATTCCCTCTTTTAATACCCAATTTGCATCCAATACAAGCAGGCGGCTTCCAAAGAGGAGCTGATGTGCGAAAGGACAAGCTCCGAGGCCCACGCAAACACTGTGTCTTATTTGAATCGTTCTGCCTGAGAGGAGATTTCAGTTCAAGGAAAAAAAAAAAGGCCGAGCTGGTTTGAAGGGCACTGGAGCTGGGAGGTGTGAGGAGGTTGGGCAGGTGCCATGTTGACTGATGCTCGGGGGATTTAAGGGAGGCCTTGAACCTGGGGAGGATCCTGCAGCTCTTCCACAGAGGCCCACAGAGGCAGGGGGATTCTACTTTTGTTTTTTTTTGTTGCTCACTTCATATTTTGAACCCCCAAAGAAGAGATTAAATCTCCTGCTCASTGTGAAATGCAGTTTGTAGTGTTTAATACGCTCCCAAAAAAAACTACTTTCAGTGAAGTAAAAATTGCTCTTGCAGWGAATCCTCATCAAACCTTCATATGACGCAATGGATTTAACAAACTTGACTGGTCAAAAATAACATCTCACAATCACCACAAAATAGCAGTGTTGTATAAAGTACATCAAAGTGATACTTGAGTAAAAGTACAAGTA